TTTTTAACCATCATGACAGTTCTCTAGGCCGTCATGTAAATGCCGCGTCACGCAAAAGCTTAGAAATTCAAGCGTAGTGTATCACAAAACCAAGAACTCTTTCGGAGCGAAATTTGTATGAATATTAGTTTTCAGCTGCTCTTATACATCATGTAAGTAAAATCTCAGGAAGATCAATAGTTTTGTAGTTTGAATTTTAGTGACGTCATGTGAAAACCAGCTATTCCTGGGAAGTACAAGAGACGGAAATTTCTCGATGGGAAGTACCGGATTTTTTTCCCGAAATTGACTTATCACATGAACAAAACATTTAAGTCTCTACGGTTACCAAATGCTAATGAGGCAAAATTTTGACCCAATAGAGCGTTTTCACCTGACGTCACGGCAGCCATATTGGTGTTCCAAAACAATGAAACGGCGGCCATATTGGCCATATTGGGAGTTGACCTCTTTTCTTATGTAAACACTTTCTCTTGTTCCAGTAAATTTGCATGGCTGCTAGACATGTGAGTGAAAACGCTTTATATCGTATGAGCTCTTGTAAGCGACCTCCTCCCGTAATCGACCGCCTAGGCTTGGCCTTTCGCATGGTCGCTTACGAGAGGTACGACTGTAGTTTGTTTTTGACGTGAAGCGCTTCAAACACTGGCTGCTTGGTTATCAGCAATTTTTTGTTATCGAAAACAAAGTCGTCAACAAAGCCCAAAGTGTGAAGTTCTCATCTTGGCATCAAACCTGCTTTCTTTTTGTCTTTAATGGCAGATTAAGTTTCTTTTGAACCGTTTCAGTGAAACTTAACAATTATTCCACTCGCGCTAGTTGGACACGAGATGATAAAGAGTCGACGAGGCGCGTAGCGTCGAGTTGGCTAGAACCATCTCATATCCAACAAGCGCGAGTGGAATAATTGTTTAATTAATTAATTGTTTATAGAAAATTAAAATAAAAGGAAAATAAAATACGCGTACGATTACCATATTTGTAGAGCATGGCATAATGGCTCATATACCATGGTGGCTAAGCCAATGAAAACTCTTGAATTGCATTATCCAATGATCCAGTTTTGAATAAATCATGAAATAACATGTTTGCAACTTTTGTTATAGTGATATGCAGTTCTCCACGAAAGATAATGATAATGACACAGGAGGTGGCAATTGTTCCAAACAGTTTAAAGGAGCTTGGTGGTACAGTAGCTCTCACAAGGCCAATCTGAATGGTTTATATCTTAATGGATCACATCTTTCTTATGCCGATGGAGTCAACTGGGGCCCCTTTAGAGGATATAAGTATTCTCTGAAACGCACTGAGATGAAGATAAAGCCAAAGTATTTGTAGTGATGCCTTGGCGAATTCTTCTTCCAATGCCTTGAGACAAAAAGACATTTCAGAATTTTTAGAATGTTCACAAAGTACCCCCGTCCCCTGGGTTATTCCCAACGCTTTTAGGCAATGGCAGTGAAATGTCTGACATTTGTTTCTTTTTTGAAAAAGGTCATTTTAGTGCTGTCAAATATGTCAAATAGCGCTAAATAGTCACCATTGTTTAGTTTTTGTTTTGACGTCCATTTATTTATCAGTGATTTAAGGAGCCGAAGACATGATCAACAATTAGTATATCCAAGGTGATTAGACTACTTGGTTCCGCATGAAGTGATCACCACTGAACTAAACTGATTTTATGAGATGCTGGTCATGAAAGTGTTAGTTATACACGTATGAATACTGACGAATGTGCAAGAAACTTCTAAGTGATGGGGGAAGATAAAAGTAAATAGATAGATAGATAGATGGACAGACAGAGGGACAGACACACAGAGAGAGAGACAGACAGACAGATAGATAGACCGCCCAACCATCCGGGTGGTGTCGTTCTTAAAGTGCGAAAGAACAAAGACTTCTCCCTCAACCAATGAGAAGGCACTCACGTCACCGTCAAACTGGTTCGACTGGTTTCTGAGACCGGTGAGGTTTGATGACTCAAAATAACGGTAGCGTTTTTTCAAATCTGTACAAGCGTGGTGTAAATAGCTTCATGTGTGAGTTAAGTAACAATAGATCTGAATGAAAATTAGTCCGCACAGGTGCTCATTACAAAACATAGAGAAATGTCAAACAAAGACTTTCGCACGAATCTGATTGGCATTCACTTCCGGTTTTCTTTTACGAATAAACAGTATCTCATAGATCAGACAATCTAGCTTTCCTTTGCATCTCTTTAAGATTAAAAATTTGTTGACAAGGTCAGTGACAGTAATCTCTGCGTTATTCTTTTCCTGCAAATGCATTCCAAGGGCAGATTACTTGTACTCTTCGATACCTTGATGTGCATGGCGAAAGTGTATCCGATATATTCTGAATCACAGAGATAACTAATTTGAGACTGCAAAACTTACACAACCTGTCGCAACGCTTACGAACAGGCTCTTTACAAATATAAAAGTTCTTTCTTTGTTTACTCTGGAAAACAGCAACAACAAGAACAACAACAAACACACACACTATTACCAAAGTAGAAAAACCTCTTAGCTACAAAAAAAGATAATTGAAACAGAAATTATGTAAATTTATCCAGAATAACTTAAAACAACCCAAAATACAAGAACCTATTTTGCCAGACTTAAAAAAATGTAGGTCCTTGCACGTGGGTTTTTCCTGTAACATTAAACTCAGGTTATTAAGACATGAACACCGTGCCTTTTATGTACCATAATTGGCGTGTTTTTGTTTCAGATAAAATGACATATTATCTGCGCTATGTTGAAATACATTTTGAAGAATCTAAAGTTATCTCTATTTGAAAGCAACCAATTGACTAAAATCACGAAAAATATGGCGAAATAAAACAGACAATCACATTTAGAATATGGGCTTGACCTAACTGGGGCATGCATGGGACTGCTTAATTTGTCAGTTGACAAACAGTCATCCCGTGCGACTATGGTCGTGTTTCAGTTGGTATGCAAGTATTGGCATATCTTAATTGAACATTGTACAGAATAAATCTACATATACATCTGCATTGAGTAAGGAACTTGCCCATAGGCATTAATTCGTGAAATAGGTTACTTCAGTAAGTCTAATTAGTTCTTCTTAAAATATTGTATGTAGTTAAAGAGATCCCCTGCTTGTCATATAGCAACAGAGCCCGCCAGCTGGCTGATTCTGGCCAATTCTCACTGGCTCATGGTCCTCATGGAACCTTACAACAGGTTCTTTACTTTTTTCTGTAATGTAATCATTACAGAAAAGATTAACAAATACAGCAAATGCAAATAAAAAATTAAACAGTGTTAAAAACTATCAGTTAATACAGCTAAATATGAAACAAAAAGAAATTCGTGATATTACTTTTTGTATAATCACAATTTTTTAAAAGTTGGTTGACGAGGAAATCTCGAAATCTCCTGAAATCTTTTGAATATTGTGTCATAGAGCTTTTCTTTATGCCCACCGGTTTAGCAAATTCGATCATGGCTTCTAATTAAGGGTTCTCTGCACAACTTGGGAACACGCATGCGGTGGGATTCAAAACAATGCTATTCAAACTGAAATCTATATGCAGATTTTAAATATTAAATATCTCAAAGAAATGCAATAAATTGATTTTTTTCGCCATGTACAGTACAGTCATGTCAAATTCTTAATGTTATTATTTTGTGTGACAAATCAATTATAAATGCATCAACTTTATAAATCCTTATTTTATATCAGGTTATAGTGTAATTCTTAATATATATGCCGATATCCATAGTACACATGGGCTGCTGACCAAGCGTGAGGTCGGAATGGCTGGGTATTAGCCAAATTCAGTTTTTGGGTGTTTATGGACAGAGACGGAGTCGAGGTCCATAAACACACAAAAACTGAATTTAGCCAATATCCAGCCATCCTGACCGAACAGGCTAGGTCAATAAAAGATTTATTATATGGAAAAAGACCACCATTTTTTGCGGGATACAGCGAGTAATCCCAAGGCGGCAAAATAGCGCCATCTTGCCCGCTTGTAAGATTCATTCTCTAGCAGCAGGGAAACACAATTACTGATTATACGACAACGCATGTTCTGGGGACGCGAGAGAGGGTAATAGCGTATTTGGTTCATTATTTTTTTCTTATCCGTTATGATGCTGGTTTTTGGTTGACGTCTCTTACTCGGCAGTGTTGGCAAAGTCATGAAAAGTACGCTTTCCCGAGACGTCAAGGGTTTCCTTTTACTATTTTTTTTAGGAACTATGGAGAACTGAAAGCGATCCATATAATGGCTCTTCAATTTCTCTTGGCAACTTAGAGACCTATCTGCCCATCAAACGCTCACCAATATAAAACTGACATACCTGACTGCAGGGAGCCACTTGTAATTCAAAATACAGACGATATGTTCTGCATGCGATCTGCATGAAACTGAATGTGCTTGGCCAGAGCGTGGCCATCTACACTTTGAGACACCGCAATTACAACTTAAGCGTGTGGCGCACTGAAGAAATTTTGTTCAGTGTTGGATGTTTGCTCACTAACTCGAAAGGCATTTTAAAAACACAAAGAGATCCATACAACGAGGAGAAAATGAGATAACAACTCTCAGACAGAACATAACTAATAATTTCAAAACGAAGCTTACTTAAACAGTTGCTTAACACCTGCGCATGCTACGTAAACAAACTGACTTAACAAGCCTTCAGTCTTGAATACGTCACATTCCTCCCTGAATGCTTGCTTGATTATGTATTTATCCCTGTTGCTTCTTGTTGGTTCGACTGTTTGTGATATAACTCGTATCTCGGAGCCTAATTTGGAAGCTGTTAACTTTGCTCATCCCATAGAAGGACGAAGACTCAGTGGAAGCGTCATAAAAGAGATGGAGGTGGACTCAGAAGTATCTTGTCAGTTTAAATGCGTCGACGAAAAGAAATGTTTCTCTTACAATGTTGGATCTGCAAATTCCACAAAGAACAACGCGAAGAGATTCAAGTGTCAACTGAGCGACTCTGATCGATTTGCTGGTTTTGCCAACTTCACAGAGGATAGAGATTTCAAATACGGAGGCTTGCAGGTAATAACACATACACAAAAAAAAAATCAAAAACGGCGTTGTGCAGGTTACATTTAGAGTTACACAGTTATTTAAAGTTATTAAACTTCTTCGTTGGATTATCTATATTTTTAATATTAAGGCGAAATATAACTAAATAAGCCAAGTTTCCTCACCAAAAAAAGATAGCCAAAAAGGCACTTTGCCAAGTTACCAATCGTGTACCAACGACTTTTTGTCATCCATATTCTGTTTTGAAACCGATACTGCCTGGCGTGCAGAGATAAACTGAAGAACCTTGGCGGCAGACACACAACAAGTTTAACAGCATGCAGAAGTGTAAATTGAATGCAAGTTTACATTAGCAAATCGCACGCAATGTGCATCACAAAATAAATCACTTGTTATGGAAGACCGTGTCTTTCTCGAATTCCAGCAAGTTCCACAAATGATCAAGCTTTGTATATTCTAACAGAGTCCCTGTGAGAGTGATAGTTCACTTTGTGACAACAAAGAAGTCTGTGTCCCAAACTATAGAGATGGCACCGTACGATGCATTTGTGAAGATGGTTATCCAGGGAAACCTTGCGGTAAGTTGATTGACAGTTCTTCACTAAGTCGCTTCAGATTAGTCATTATACTTGTAATTGTTTAACCCAACAGAACCCAAAAGCTGCTCCCAGCTCCTTCGTGATGGTTTCACATCTAGTGGTGTGTACACCATCAATCCAGATGGCGGCAAACCGATACAAGTGTTGTGTGACATGACCACGGACGGTGGAGGTTGGACAGTTTTTCAGAGACGTTTGGACGGCTCTGTTGACTTCTATCTTGGTTGGAAATCCTACAAAAACGGGTTTGGAGATCTGAACGGCGAATTCTGGCTTGGAAATGAGAATCTTCAACGTTTGACTGCCGTTGGTAATATCACTATGCGGGTTGACTTGGAAGACTTCGTCGGCGACATTGGATACGCTGAGTACACTACTTTTAAAGTGGCAGACGAGGCCAATAAGTACCGGCTTTTGATTGGAGGATACAGTGGCACGGCTGGTGACGCCATGACAACTGGGCAAACGGCAAAGTAAGGCAATGTTCACATTTGATGCCCGAGCTCGGTGAGCGAGTACGATTCTCGCTGGGCACTAATGTGAACAATTTTTTTGCAAGTGCTGACACTAAAATTCGGGTAGAGTACCCGTGCCCCAGTACAAGGTCGAGACCTTGTACTTTGGAACTAAGACGTTAGGGGTACTTGGTTACTTAGAGTTTTCCAGTGTCTGAACGCAACATTATTTTTTGCCAGTGCCCAGGCACCAAGTGTGAACATAGCCTTTAAGAATCTTTGTTTACTCAGCATAATTCGAAATAGTTTGGCTCTGACGTGAATTGCTTCAAACACTTGCTTCTTAGTTATCAGAAATTTTTGTTATCCACAACAAAATCTTTGTCAACAAAGCCCAAAGAGTAAAGTTCTCATCTTGACATTAAATGGCTTTCTTTTTGTCTTTTAAATGGTAGATTAAATGTTTGGTCATTTCAGTGAAATTTAACAATTATCCCTCTCCCGCTTGTTGGATGTGAAATGGCAGATAGCCAATAATGGCTAGAACCATCTTTCATATCCAACAAGCGCGAGTGGAATAATCATTTTATTAAAAACGCCTCCAAAATATAGCAAAATAAAATAAAATAAAAATTTAATACGCCCTCAAAATTAGTGGTACGCTTATCATATTTCTAGAGCATGGTATAATGACTCATATACCATGCATAATGGCTAATTAAGCCAACGACAACTCTTTAATTGCATTATCCAATGATCCAGCCTCTAATAAATTTTGATATTACATTATGATATTACATATTTGCAACTTTTGTTATAGTGATATGCAGTTCTCCACGAAAGATAATGATAATGACAAAAAAAGTGGCAACTGTTCCAAACAGTTTAAAGGAGCTTGGTGGTACAGAGGCTGTCATCAGGCCAATCTGAATGGTTTATATCTAAACGGATCACATTCTTCTTATGCCGTTGGAGTCAACTGGAGCCGCTTTAGAGGATATTACTATTCACCAAAACGTACTGAGATGAAGGTAAAGCCCAAGTCTTTTCAGTGATACCTTGGAAAATTCTTCTTCCAATGACTTGCATTTGTCTGACAATCAGACATTTTAGAGTTTTTAGAATGTCCACCTCAACCCCTTTTTATTCCCAACGATTTTAGGCAACAGTACTGAAATTTGTTTCTTTTTCGTAAGAGGTAATTTCATAGGTGTAAATTATGTCATATAGCGTTAAATAGTCACCATTGCACAGTTTTTTGACACCTATTTATTTATCAGTGATTTAAGGAGCCGAAGACATGATCAACAATTAGTATATCCAAGGTGATTAGACTACTTGGTTCCACATGAAGTGATCATCACTGAATTAATGAGCTATGAATACTAAACTGATTTTATGAGATGCTGGTCACGAAGGTGTTAGTTATGTACGAATGAATGCTGACCAATATGCAAGAATCTTCCAAGTGATGGAGGGAGATAAAAGTAGGTAGATAGATAGATTAAACAATTAGATTATGAGCTCGAGATTTCTATCGCGTACTATCGCGCGATAGAAATCGAGAGCAAATAATTGTTTTAGAATAAATCTACTAGTCGTTTAAAAGTTAATCTAAATCCTCTTCACAGACACTTCGCAAACGCCAATTCAAGAAGCGGCCGTCATTTTGTTAACAAGGGCACACTGCTACGTTATTCACTATCTATCACAGAATAGATTGTGAGTAGCTTAGCCAATTAGAGAACGGCATTTGTGATAGAACGCTAGTAGATTTATACTAAAGATAGATAGACGGACGGACAGACATACAGGGAGACAGACAGCCAGACAGACAGATAGACAGACAGATAGATAGACTGCCCAACCATCCGGGTGTTGTCGCTCTTAAATTGTGAAAGAACAAAGACTTCTCCTTCAACCAATGAAAAGGCACTGACGTCATCGTCAAACTGGTCCGGCTGGTTTCTGGGACCGGTGAGGCTCGATGATTCAAAATAACGGTAACGTTTTTTTGAATCTGTACAAGCGTGGTGTAAATAGCTTCATGTGTGAGTTAAGTAACAATAGATCTGAATGAAAATTAGTCCGTACAGGTGCTTGTTGCAAAACATAGAGAAATGGCAAAGACGTTCGCACGAATCTGATTGGTATTCACTTCCGGTTTTCTTTTACGAATAAGCAGCATCTCATAGATCAGACAATCTAGCTTTCCTTTGCATCTCTTTAATTTGCTGACAAGGTCAATGACAGTGATCTCTGCGTTATTCTTTTCCTGTAAATGCTTCCCAAGGGCAGATTACTTGTGCTCTTCCGATGCGTTGATGTGCATGGCGGCAGGCGTATCCGATATATTCTAAATCACAAAGATATCATTTAAAACTGCAAAACTTACACAACGTGTCGCAACGCTTACAGACAGGTTCTTTACAAGTACAAAAGTCCTTTATTTGCTCACTCTGGGTAGTATAATGCACCATCATGGAGCTGTGATAAATTGAGTTTATTGGTTGAAAAGGTTTACGAAACGTAATTCGAGATCAATTTATATTGTTTATGTTATCAAGTTTATTTCCGAGTAATTTCTTGAAATGCAACCAAGGCATGCGAACGGCGACCGCTTTTTACACCCCCAATATTAATGTTTCCGACAGTATTTTTGATCCAGAGTATTCACCGCTCCTAAAAAGAATAATAATTATTATTTGGACGACGAAAATCTGCCAGGAATATCGCTGCAATCTTTTTAAAGACAAATTTTTTTAATGAAGGTAAACCAGGCTTACAACGTTAGATCGGCAAACTTAGTAAACGTGAAAAAAGCGAGCATCAATCAAACTGTCTGTTTTAATCGGCGCAATTAGACCTTTGTATACATTTAAAGGTGTTTTAGCATATTTATCGCTTTCAGCATTCCCATGTTTTAAATTTACCTACATATTTACCTTCCTTGTAACTTGAAAATGATTTGAGAGGGGTCAAACTATCGTTCGGTTTTATCGTCACTTCTTATCAAACACAAAATTAGTAAATGATATTACGCATTAACAGGGACGAGGCGGGAGACGGCGTCGGTCCATTGGGAATGGCTCTCTTCTAATTCTCCTTTGTGTAGTGTCGCGTCGTTTGCGCGTTTCCTCCCCGCTACTTTCTGAATCGTCGTCCATTGTATCATTAATACACGGACGAGATGGAATGGTGGGAGTGTCCATAGGGGATGCGATTCGTCTTATTCTTTTAGCGCTCTTCACAGCCTTCACTTCATTGCATCTAAAGAACAGATACAATGTTTTGTCCACTGCTAGGTAACCTGAGTGATACTTTCTTTTCCAACCCTTGAAACCACTTGGTGTTCCTGCAATTTCAACAAGTAATGCGTAAATTAGTAATTCGACAAAACGGAATAACACGGTTTAGGCAAGCTTAATAGAAAACGTCGTGTTTTTAAAGCTCGAGGATGAGCTAGGAGACCTCTAAAACATTAGCGCGAATCCAAGTAGCAGGCAAAGGCCTTAAAGTTCTGTTGAATTTTTGCGAGTGTTACCATCAGAGTATGTACGAGTTCTTTAATAAACTGTTAACGTCAGGAACGTTTCGTGGCATTATGACCTCGTTTACAAAACCTCGTCAAAACCACCTGCGATCCATGACCAAAAAGCCATCCAGCCATCCAATGAAAACTCGCATTATAGTTACGAAAAAAACAGTAGCCAGCCGGGGAGCATGAGTTCTGATATCAAGATTGTATACTAGACAATAATCTAAAGATCATCACAACTGAATTGAGGTACAACTCACTCTCACGATTTAAGTTCTCATGAAGCTAAGAAAACGTTTTCTCTAACCCATTGAAGACAGACGCCTCAGGCAGTATCCAAGTTTGCGACCTTTGATGAAAAGGTGGGGACTCTCTTGTTGAATACTACCACCTCGTGTATAGAAAGAAGCCATTGGGTCTTTAAAGCCGTTCTGCACCGCAACTGAACCAGATTTGAAGTTTTCATCAACTGAAAAGGCATTAATAAGGACGATTCCAAAGGCTACGACGTGCAGAATTAATACGAGATGCATCTGCGAAGGAAAAGGAAGACCTCTGACTGGAAACACGCAGCATGTAATTCAATCAAATGATATTTTTATCACTTTTTAAATTAATCTTACCAGGAGTCCATAACATTGGCTTCTGGTGTTGATGTCCAATTAATTAAGAAATAACTGAGCAAAATTAAATACGGAAAAAGGGAGCAGAAAGTAATATGAATAAAGAATTAAATTGATTGCGGTAAGTTGAAAGTAGAAAATATGAATTATTAAATGTGTGTCCCACGTATCTCATTGTTAGTGTGCTCAATTAAGAAATAAACGTCGCATACGGCAAATTCGGAAGACTAGGTAATGAAAGATAAAATCACAATTCTCCAGCAATTGATAACAATTTTATCACTTCCTTTAACCCATTTGGGTTGTGTAAAGCTCCTTTCAGCACTTTGAAAACCAGAAAGTTAGAAAAGTTAGAAAGTTAGGAAGTTATTATTAATTCATTACTTCATAGACAACATTTTTAATCCTAGCCTCAGTGCTACTGGAATACATTTATGCAAATTCTCTTTAGTTAACACATAAAGAAGCCTAAGCCGTGCATTACACTGTGATAAAACGCGACGGGCATTTGAGAACACGAGGGAAATGTAGAAAACTCTCAACATTTCTCGAGTGTTCTCAAATGTCCGGAGTGTTTTATCATAGTGTAATACACGGCTTAGGCTTCTTCATTTGCTTTATGATACAGATTTTACACGTGCGAAACAGTAAAACACGCTTTTTCTCATCATGAGGGATGATGATGCCGTAGATCGGCGAAAGCTTGGATTTTTAAACGATTTTAATATCATTTTACAGTAGTGTAAGGCCTCAATTGAACTTTTGCCACTTTGATGAACTTTGATTAGTTCCTTGTATGTATTCTCTTACCGTTACGTTTTGCACTATTTCTTAACAATGCCAATGGACTTAGACTTTATTTTTTGCTTCTCTAGTTCGATACATAAGTGATATAAGAACTCAGTTCAGTGGCATCAAAATTGCAATTGATTACAGGCGATCGAATTTTCCAAGTTGAGTGGCTCATAGGCACATTGATAAAAAGTTGAGGCAATACTGCTGAAGTGGCAAGGATCAATTCATAAAGGGAACATAGATGACCGGTCAGAAGACACCTGGAAAGAAAAATAACAACAAAATATGTTTCAACAAAACCTAGGAAGAGTCGTTTGTAGCGTAATGACTCTCTCCTAGCAATGAACTTTGAAACTTTAGCTTTATGTTGGTACTCTTATCTAGCTTTAATTTGCAGAATGTTTCACCGAACATTAATGCTTGATAGTGATTTAGCAATCGGTAAAATTACTTCAACAAGCATTAAAATGAACACTGTGCTATGGGCAGGAAAAAAATTCAAAAGTTATTTGTGCATTCTAAGCAAAAATTTAATCATGATAAAATCAAGAAAGGAATACACTCCTTCTTTGAACAAACATTAATTAAAAAGCCCTTAATTTATATAAATTTTCCAAGCAACTATGCATGCATTTTTAGGAATCTGAGATCACAAAAAATTCTATTTACTTGATCAAACTTTATTTTACTTTGTTTTGCATCGACCTTTCGTCCAATACATCTTTGTTGTTTATCACTCAATTAACTATTCACTTAACAGAATGAAATGGTTTTTGTACTGAAGGGAATATTAGAATTGTTACTTCGTGTTCAATAGATAGTCATAACCTATATGGTAACTTCGGTGGTTACAAGTACTTTACGTAATCACCTCAAAATATCTGTTTATTGTTGTTCTTTGACAATATTACAAAGGTTTGTTAACTAACAATATCATAAGAGATTTGTTAAGTATTTAGATGGCACGTTGCTTCTGCCACAGGTGAGCCGTTTGTATCGTTTCTTGTTTAATGCTTACGTTTTCAGCGCTCTATCCGCTGACGATACGGGACCACACAAAGCCCAAATGAGAACAACAAGCTCGTGTTTTTAATTGAAGTGCTGAAGGACTCTCCTCTCGACGTGTTATTTGACATTTAGCAACGAAAATGATTGAATAAATTATGAGGTCTGAGAATAAAGTTTGAGAATGTAAATTATGGACAAAAGTCAATCAATCTTGTTGAGTTGTCTTCCTTCTTAGTTTTCCTTCCTCTTGGATTGTAACCAGCGCAGAGATTGCAATGTTACATTGAAAATAATGAACGATCAATGGACCCTCTCTTACTTCATATTTAGTTGGATTACAGTGGAAGGGTAATGAATCTTCTGTAAACGTACCTTAAAACGCGATCCTTAGTGAATGAAACGTTGGCAAGTTGTTGTTACCTCCGCGAAGCCCCGTTATAAGATAATGTGAATTATAAGGCTCTTTAATAGTTATTATTTATCTATAAAATATAACCCAATATCAACGGCACTTATTCACACAAACCAGTATCAAAAAGTATGTTAAAAGCACATGTAATTTGCGGCTTGATTGGTTGATAATTATACACCCCAAACTGTGATCGTGCTGATATCTAATCATATGTATTGAGAAGGAAATAATACAATGAAATCATTCTTTTCAAATAGGGCCATCTAACTTTTGTGAAAGTCGATAACAACAGAGAATACATTGATATTTGTAACCCTAAAGAGATGGCCCGTATCAAACATATAAACGGATTGTTTAATTACGAAGACATGTTCTGCCTACCTTAAGGCCGCCACACAGAGCTTTGCATTGATTTCATCCCCAATGCGGCAAAAAATCAGGCATGATCACACAGTTGAGCGAGACTATGTACCACTTTAGTACGTTTCTAATACTGTCAGTTGTGTGCTCTTCATTTGTTTTTGTTCTGAGCGCCGAAATCACAAAAAGCGCTACGGTGTTTAGGCTCATTCAGAGAACTTTGCCCGCTTACGTTTTCGTATTAGTTCTACTTCGATTATTTTAAATTGAATTATATTGTTTATTCAACTGAGATTAGCTTTCTAGTTTGTAAGGGCCAGTATCCTTTTGCATCGTCATAATTTGATTGCACGTTCTTCCCTGTAACTATTTCTAAAATATAATAACCCTGAAATTTTAGAGAAAATTGTAAATCACAGATTTTGATTTTGATGTTGAGCTAACGCTTGTGCCACTTGCGCTAGTTTACTGTAAATTCGGCTTTAACCCTCTCAAATAAGCTCAGGAAACATAATTCAAAATGGAATCGCCGGCTGTAAGCTCACAGTGCAGTTTGTCAGATCAAAAAGCAAGTGGAATTCCTGAGTAATACCTGACGTTACTAAAACGATTTTGCTGTGTCATCTAGATCTTGTATCTTTTACATTATTTATTTTCCTCTAAAGTCTTAGTATGATTTTATTTGTTACCATGTTACCATTGTCAAGAAAGTCCTAAGGAGTGGAGATAAATAAGATTTTTAGTTTTAGTTTGATTATTATTTTAAAGTATGTTTACTTTGTGGGCCTGGCAACAGTTAGTCATCTTAACACTTCAATAACGTCAATAATATTGAAAGTTCCTATCATTATGACACCATTAATAAACTTTGTCACCGTCGCACTAACAGGAATTTGCTGACGTCTTCGTTTATATCTTTTCATTTACACTCCCTGACGTAGGGCATTTCTTGATACAAATGACTCCAAAGAAATAAAGAGGGTTATGAACCTTCTATACTAGGGAACATTCTAGCCTTTTGACTTAATATTGAAGAAGGAATGAAAAAAAAAAAAAAGCTAATGAGCTCATACAAACTCTGGGTTTTGAAAACCAGCATCACACAAAATCTTTTAATACTTTGGGCTCAAATTTCGTAACACACAGTTAATTGTGCGATACCATTCCAATGTTCAGGGTTGATATTTATGTAGCTCGATTAAAAACTGAAGAGCTTAGGTTAATAAGGCAAATATTTGTTAAGTACTGAAGCGTTAGTGAACACAACAAATACAACGCTACATCAAACACAGGGCGGACCAGATCCAAGAGCGCGTAAATCTGACATAAGAGAACGTAAACGAGGCTACGGACGTACCTAGACTCTTATAAGGCGTGAGTACAAAACGCACCACAATATTGTAAACAACGACTGTCGGCTTGAAGTAAAAACGACTGTAATTCAGTCATGATATAATGGAGTCGATTTCATTGTGAATTTTTTTAGCGGACACCATTATTTAGTCAAGATTGCTCCCAGTGGAGGATTTTGCTGGTATATACCCTAGAAACATAGATGGAGCTGAATATTTCCTTGTATTTTGATTAGAGACCAGTTTGAGTGGGATGATGTGAATGTTAATAATAACATTTTATTTAAAAGAGTGCTTTTTTGTGCCTTTAAAATTCCTATTCACTGATGGGACATGAATCTTCTCATCTGAGATTAGACATGTTCAATAAAAGTGCCATCATATAATTACGATATTTTAAACTTCTGTCCGGGCAACAAGGCTTGGGCAGATAAAAATAAATTATTCGGTCATCTCTCAACCTCACTGATGTCATCGCTGGATGGAAAAATAAACCTCCTAAGCTGAAGAGGTCTATTAATGATAAAACAGATTTTTATCTCCAGTTATTTATTTTTGTTTTCGTTCCTTAACAATATCACAGAAAGTTTGTTAACACGCCATTTTTAAGCTTGGTGTTACTCCTCACACTTTTCTTTTATATTTCATTCGCTATAGAATAAAACAACAATGAACTAAGTGTTTTCACGCCTTTATTTGAAGCATTTCTATGATACTAAATACAAACGACAATGTAATATCGTTATTCAGTATCCGTAAAACGATATTTGTTCAGTTACGAAGCGTATTTTAAGATGTTTCCATTCACATCATTTTTCTTGGAAACCGTTCAAAAATCAAAAAATACAAATGCAAGACCTGAACACAGACTTTTTTGACAAAGTATGATGATTAGTTTAGTTGATAAACAAAAAGTAAACTGGAATACAATTGAGTTAATTTTCTTTGGAAAGGGAGATTACTAATGATATTGCGTAGAATAGGCATCAGTTTTCGCTTGTGATATAAAGAGAACAATTATAAAGAGAACAATTAGTCAACGACAAGCAGTAAATGTGCCAATATAAATCTGTATTCACTGCTTTTAAGGTTTACTTCCATGAAAAAGCACAGATTGGAACTTTGTTTAAACGTTCTTTTTTAATATGGCTTAGATACGTACATCTTTGAGATTTGCCAACATCTCGTAGCCCAGTTATAAGATAATAACATTTAAATCGACTGCTAAATAGTATTATAAAATGTCAGCCAATATCAACTAGGCATACTCACATCACTCATTATCACAACCTCCAACTCCCTCCCCCCCCAAAAATACAACCCTCCCCCCAACAGTTCATGGTTGATCGCATAATATTGCTATATTCTTCATGATTAT